CCCATAGTGCAATGCTCCGGAAGTCGACGCTAGCCTCGTACTGTGGACGCGGTCTGCCGACTAGAGCACCTAGAGCATTTTATGTGTGGACATACACAATCGGCTGTATACAACCGATTTCAATAAAACCGGCTTCTATAAATTCGAACTAATTTCGTAGTGTAGACATACCCTGAGAGAAGGTGAAGGTTACATGTCTGCAGTACCTGAGCAGCCGCATTCCAGCTGTAGCCCCGAGGTAGACAGGGGTCTCTCTGTGCTGCTGTTCTGGAACAACTTCCTGAGCTCTTTTCATGCAGTGCTGGAGGGAGAGGCCAGCTTTCTCTGTGTCCTGGGAGTAACCCGAGATCCCCAGACCTGGGAAGAAGGGGAAGAATATGACATTCCATTTCATGCTCTCTTAACCGAGTCCTACAGACCACAGTGAACCCTGCATATTACTCCTAACCTCTATTGCAGAGACATCAATAGCAGCCCTCCTATTAAACCCAGCCTTAAAGCTTGTCTAATAGACTGCTAAGAATTCCTCCTCTATCAAGTAAGTGTTCATATCCTTATGCTGGGGGTGGGTGAAACTTCATGGAAGCTGGTGGCTGAAACAACTGCCCATCACGCAGAACAAATGTAAAAAGCACCTGAGCTCCTTTATGGAATAGACACACCTGAAACAGCAGGAGCCACCACCCAAAACACAGGTCACCTGCAAAGGCTGGTTAGGAATCTGCGCTATGTGGGCTGAGGGGTGTGACTGGGGACTGAATGTAAACACAGAGGGCTGGGTATTGTTGGAGGGAGTGGGGTGTGAGAGAGAGAAAGGCAGGAGAAACACCACAGAGAAGGCCCCAAGGAAGTCCCAGAGACAGCCAAAGAAGCACTTATAGTGTGACCCTGAGAAAAAGCTGAGTGAGAGAGAGCAGGAGCACACACTTTTGGGTAGAGCGTCGGTTGGAAAGAAGCTGGGAACTGTGAGCAACACACCTGGGCACATGGAAAAACAGTTGACAAGAAGGTGTGAGTAACAGTAGGGGGAAATTAGTATGGTAAAATTAGTTTTTGTAATGACCCATCCACTCCCAGTCTGTATTCAGGCCTAATTTAATGGTGTCTAGCTTGCAAATTAATTCCAGTTCTGCAGTTTCACACTGGAGTCTGTTTTTGAAGTTTTGTTGTTGAAGAATGGCCCCTTTTAAGTCTGTTATTGAGTGACCAAGGAAGTTGAAGTGTTCTCCGACTGGTTTTTGAATGTTATAATTCCTGATGTCAGATTTGTGTCCATTTATTCTTTTGCGTAGAGACTGTCCGGTTTGGCCAATGTACATGGCAGAGGGGCATTGCTGGCACATGATGGCATATATCACATGTGCAGGTGAACGAGCCCCCTGATAGTGTGGCTGATGTGGTTAGGTCCTATGATGGTGTCCCTTGAATAGATATGTGAACAGAGTTGGCACAGGGGTTTGTTGCAGGGTTTGGTTCCTGGGTTACTGTTTTTGTTGTGTGGTGTGTAGTTGCTGATGAGTATTTGCTTCAGGTTGGGGGGCTGTCTGGAAGTGAGGACTGGCCTGTCCCCCAAGGTTTGTGAGAGTGAGGGATCATCCTTCAGGATAGGTTGTAGATCCTTGATGATGCGCTGGAGAGGTTTTAGTTGGGGGCCGTAGCATTCCGTCACCTATAGTCCACCTTCTTGTCAACTGTTTGAAATGGGCCACCCTCATTACCACTACAAAAGTGATTTTTCCTCCCTTGGTATTCTACTGTTAATTGAATTGTCTCGTTAGACTGCCCCCCCATTTGGTAAGGCAACTCCCATCTTTTCATATACTATGTATATATACCTGCTACTGTATTTTCCACTCCATGCATCTGATGAAGTGGGTTCTAGCCCACGAAAGCTTATGCCCAAATAAATTTGTTAGTCTTTAAGGTGCCACAAGGACTCCTCGTCGTTTTTGCTGATACATACTAACAAGGCTATGTGACGTTATGAGTGTAAAATAATATTTCATTAAAAGATGACAGGGCCAGAAAGAGTTAATTAACTCAGACTGACCTGACCCATGGGTGAATTGTAGAAACTGGTTAGGAAGATATGTAAACGAATAGAGCTTTGAAATGCAAGTCTGCATTGTTAGAGATCTCAAGGGTAGATGTTTGCTCAGGGCTTGTGATGTAAGCAAACAAGTCTTGTCTATTGCTGTAACTTTAATTCGAAGATCAAAAAGGAATATTAACATTTATGATGATACTTGTGTGAAATAGTATTATTGTGTATATGTCTCTTTTGAAGGTTGTGGTAACCTGTGTCTGAACTGTTTAATGGATAAATTACCCTTTGCTAATTGCCAGGATGTTTGGAAGGAGAATTAAGCCTATTGTTTTCTCAGGCTGAAAGGCTGCTGGAAATGTATAAGAACCCTGGGACATGATGCTGTATCATCTCACATCTGCTTTGGGTTTCAAGAGGGGGAAACCTTAAGCCACAAGGATTGAGATCCCCAGTCATTGACTGGAGCCACCCTGAATATGGACATTGGACTATATAACCTATGGACTATTTCTAAAAGGACTTTTGGCAACGACAAGCTCACCTCTGCTCTGTATCTGAACCTCAAGAATTGAATTCAAGTCTGTCTGTATATTGATCTTTTAACCAACACTCTCTCTCTTTTCTTTTTTAATAAATTTTAGCTTAGTTAATAAGAATTGACTATAGTGTGTATTTTGGGTAAGATCTAATTTATAATTGAACCTGGGTATGTGGCTGATCCTTTGGGGGTGGAAGAACCTTTTCTTTTATATGATGAAGTAAGATTTTCAGTAATCATCATATCTGACAGGTGTGTCTGGACGGAGGCCTGAGGCTGGGTACTTTAAGGGAACTGCATTGTTTGGATTTCTAAGTAACCAGTGCGGTACTATAGAAGCTGTTTTGTGCTGGCTTGGTAAATCTAAGTATTGGAATAACCACCAGCTTCTGGGGTTGGTCTGCCCCATTTTGTCTGCAGTTCACTCTAATTGAGTGACCTCAGCTGGCTCCTACGGGCAGCACCGTCACAGGCTACCACTCTGAAACCTGGGAAAAAACAGTTACTCACCTTCTCATAACTGTTGTTCTTCGAGATGTGTTGTTCACGTCCATTCCGATCAGGTGTGCGTGCATTGTGTGCACAGTCGTTGGAACGTTTTCCCTTAGCAGCTCCCGTTGGGTCGGCTGTGGAGCCCCCAGGAGTGGCACCCTCATGGCACTCAATATATGACCCTACTGACCCGACCCCCCTTCAGTTCCTTCTTGCCAGCTACTCTGACAGAGGGGAAGGAGGGTGGGTATTGGAATGGATGTGAACAACACATCTCAAAGAACAACAGTTTTTCTTCTTTGAGTGCTTGTTCAAGTCGATTCAAATCAGGTGACTTCCAAGGTCTCCCCCGGAGGTGGGGTCGGAGTTAAGGATTTGCTGACTGGAGCACCACTCTGCCGAATGCTGCATCATCTCTGGAATGCTGGCTGATAGCATAGTGAGTGGTACACGTATGCACCAATGACCAGGTTGCCGCTCTGCAGATCTCCTGAATGGGGATCTGGGCCAGGAAAGCCGCTGATGAAGCTTGTGCCCTTGTGGAGTGTGCCGTAACAGCCGGGGCTGGGACCTTAGCCAGCTCGTAGCATGTGTGGATGCAGTCTGTGATCCAGGAAGAAATGCATTGGGAAGAGACCGGGAGCCCTTTCATCCAGTCTACCATCGCAACGAACAGCTGGTTTGATTTCCTGAAAGGTTTAGTGCGCTAGATGTAGAATGCTAGTGCATGCTGGACATCTGGTGAGTGAAACCTCTGTTCCTATGCACTGGTATGAGGCTTGGGATAGAAGACTGGTAGAAAAAGGTCTTTGTTAGTATGAAATTGGGACACCACCTTGGGAAGGAAGGCTGGGTGAGGCCTGAGTTGCACCTTGTCCTTGTGGAAGACCGTGTACGAAGGGTTGGAGGTTAGCACTTTTAACTTGGACACCCTCCTAGCCAATGAGATAGCGACCAGGAATGCCATCTTCCACAACAAATACAGAAGGGAGTAAGTCACCAATGGCTCGAAAGGGGGCCCCATTAGTCTGGAGAGGACCAGATTGAGGTCCCATGCAGGCACAGGTCTTCGAGTCTGTGGATATAATCTTTCCAGGCCCTTGAGGAAATGGCCTACCATAGGGTTGGCGAACAGAGCACGCCCCAACTCTCTAGGGTGGAAGGCAGATATAGCAGCGAGGTGTAGCCTGATGGATGACCCTGCTAGGCCCTGTTTCAGGTGAAGGAGGTAATCCAGAATGAGTGGTATAAGCGGCTGGAGTGGAAGTGTGCGATGCTGGGCACATCAGCAAGTGAACCTCTTCCACTTAGCTAGATAAGTGGCTCTGGTGGATGGTATCCTGCTGCCAAGCAGAACCTGCCTTATCGGTTCCAAGCACAGGAGCTCCATTGGGTTTAACCGTGAAGCTTCCATGCCGTGAGATGGAGGGACTGGAGGTCTGTGTGGTGAAGGTGACTGTGATCCTGGGTGATGAGATCTGGGTAAAGCGGTAGCAGGATCAAAGTGTCCACGGACAGCTCCAGAAGCGTGGTGTACCAATGTTGGCGTGGCCATGCTGGGGCCAACAGAATTATTTCTGCCTTGTCTCTGCGGATCGTGAGCAGTACCTTGTATGCGAGTGGGACCAGTGGAAAGGCATACGTGAGGCAGTCCCCCCAGGGTAGCATGAACATGTCCGAGATCAAGCCCGGGGTGTGTTTCTGGAAGGAGCAGAATGTTGGGCATTTTTCTGTTGCTCTGGGTGGCAAACAGATCTACCTGGGGAAACCCCCACCTTCGGAAAATGGAATGTATGACATCAGCAATGAGTGGTCTATCCGTCCGGAGCCACCTGCTGAGGTGATCCGCTAGTTTGTTCTGCACTCCCAGGAGATGTGATGCCTCCAGGTGAATGGAGTGGGCTATGCACAACTCCCATAGCTGGAGGGCTTCCTGACATGGGGGGAGGAATGGGTTCCACCCTGTTTGTTGATGTAAAACATGGCAGTGGTGTTGTTGGACATCACTGCCACGCACTGATCTTGTAGTCGGGACAGGAAGGTCTGGCAGGCTAGTAGCACCGCTCTGAGCTCCTTAATATTGATATGGAGTGAGAGCTCGTCCTGCGACCATAGGCCTTGCGTTCGGAGATCTCCCAGATGAGCCCCTCAACCCAGAGCTGACGCGTCCATTACTAGGGACAGAGAAGGTTATGGGCTGTTGAAGGGGACTCCCTCGCACACTGACTGAGGGTCGAGACACCATTGGAGGGACTCAAGTACTTGCTCTGGCACTGTGACCACTGAGTCAAGGCTGTCGTGCCCCAGGCGGAGACCAACGCGAGCCATGCTTGTAGGGGTCTGAGCCTCAGTCTAGCATATCGGACCACGTAAGTGCAGGCTGCCAAGTGGCCGAGGAGACTCAGGCATCCCCTTGCTTTAGTGGTCGGGTACTGCCTGAGGTTTTGAATAATGTCTGTCATGGCTTGGAACCGGGTCTCTGGCAGCAGTGCCCTTGCCTGTACCGAGTCCAGCGCTGCCCCGACGAATTCTGTTCTTTGGGTCGGTGATAAGGTTGACTTGTTCACGTTGAGGAAGAGTCCCAGTCTCTTGAAAGTGAATCTGACTAATTGGACTTGAGACTCTACCTGCTCCCTGGAGCGCCCCCATATTAACCAGTCGTCGAGGCAGGGATATACCTGCCCCTGCCTCCTGCGGAGGAAGGCTGCTACGACTGACATATACTTGGTGAAAACTCGGGGAGACGTTGATAGACTGAATGGGAGGACCATGAATGGATAATGTTTGTGGTTGACCACAAACCATAGGCACCGTCTGTGCGCAGGCTGAATGGCTATGTGAAAGTATGAGTCTTTTATGTCAAGGGCACCATACCAGTCTCCCGGATCCAGGGAAGGGATGATCGTGTTCAGGGAGACAACGCAGACCCTCACTCCGCCTGGGAGTGAAGGACCTCCTGCTGAATTGCCGCCACAGATCGCAATCGCGGCTTTTTTTTTTTTGGTTTTGGCTGCTTGGGGCGGCCAAAATCCTGGAGCCGGCCCTGGACCCACCGCCTGCTCAGTTCCTTCTTGCCGGAACACTCCAACAGAGGGGAGTGGGTGGGATTTGGAATAGACATGAGCAACACATCTCAAAGAACAACTGTTACTAGAGGTAGGTAACCATTTTTTCTTCTTCGAGTGCTTGCTCATGTGCATTCCAATAGGTGACTCCCAAGCAGTTTCCCTGGGGGAGGGGTCGGAGTTCACTTGGTTGCTGAATGCAGGACTGCTCTGCCAAAGGCTGCATTGCCCCTCACCTGCTGGGTAATGGCATAGTGTGACGTGAAGGTGTGGACAGAGGACCATGTTGCTGCCTTGCATATGTCCTGTATAGGGACCTGTGCCAGGAATGCTGTGGACGACACCTGTGCTCTTGTGGAGTGCGCCGTAAGCGGAGGGGCTGGAAGTTTTGCCAGGTCGTAGCAAGTCCTGATACAGGATGTGATCCACAATAAAGTGTGCTGGGATGAGATCGGGAGCCCCCTCATCCTTTCTGCGATTGCAATAAAGAGCTGTGATGACTTACGAAATGTCTTTGTGCGCTCAGTTAGAATGCTAGGGCACGCCTGACATCCAGGGAAATGGAACATGCGTTCTCTGTTACTTGCATGAGGCTTAGGGAAGAACACAGGTAAAAATATGTCTTGGTTCACATGAAACTGTAAAGTATCAGAGGGGTAGCCGTGTTAGTCTGAATCTGTAAAAAGCAACAGGGGGTCCTGTGGCACCTTTGAGACTAACAGAAGTACTGGGAGCATAAGCTTTCGTGGGTAAGAACCTCACTTCTTTAGATGCAAGTAATGGAAATTTCCATTACTTGCATCTGAAGAAGTGAGGTTCTTACCCACGAAAGCTTATGCTCCCTATACTTCTGTTAGTCTCAAAGGTGCCACAGGACCCTCTGTTGCATGAAACCGTAAGACTATCTTTGGCAGAAACGCAGAGTGAGGGTGTAGCTGCACCTTGTCTTTATAAAAGACCGTATAGGGGGGCTTGGAAGTCAGCACTCTGAGCTCGGATACCCTTCTGGCCATGGTTATGGCCACCAGAAAGGCCACCTTCCAGGAAAGGTAGGACAGAGGGCAGGTCGCCATGGGATTGAAAGGGGGCCCCATGACCAGGCTGAGGTCCCACTGGGGAACGGGTACATCGTACCTGGGAATAAAGGCTGTGGAAGCCCTTGAGAAACCAGCCCACCATGGGATTGCCGAAGACTGACCTACCCGCTGCCCCCGGTGGACGGCTGAAATGGCAGGCAGGTGTACCCTGAGAGAGGATATTGCCAGTCCCTGCTGCCTGAGGTATAACAGGTAGTGCAAAACAAGGGGAATTGGCGCTAGCTGTGGTTCGGTGCCACTCTGCAGAGACCAGATGGAAAAACGCTTCCACTTTGCCAGGAGATTCAGGTTTAGGGCCACTCTTCTAAGAAGGTCCTGGTGTCCCCTGGTGTCCATCGCCGGAAGGGTGGTGATGGTGCCCACCACCCCCTCGTCAGGCGAGGAGGAGGTGGCTCGTGGGACAGGGTCTTCCTGCACCTCTGGCTCTCTGGCAGCTGGGTCAGGTACCTTGGAGCCCCCCATGACTGGAGGTGGCGCCAGTATAACTGATGGTGCAGGTTTAAAATGTATATAATGCCTTTTGTCTGGCAAAAAAAAAAATTCCTGGAACCTAACCCCCCCCCTTTACATGAATTCTTATGGGGAAATTGGATTCCCTTAACATCGTTTCGCTTAAAGTCGCATTTTTCAGGAACATAACTACAACGTTAAGTGAGGAGTTACTGTACCGACACCTCACCTCTTGTCTGATCCAGCACAGACATCATCTTTTACCAGCTACCATGTTGGTATTTATACACCCCATTAATGACATTTACAATTTCTTAAAACCAATAAACTCCAAATAGCAATTTAAAAAACCCAACAAAAATAAACAGACGTAACATCCTCTGCTCCCATCAGGGAAATGCCTGGACTTTCCCTGTGCAGGCTCAGGTTCTTTGCACTATCAGAACAGAAAAGTCAAGAATAAAGGCCCACCATTCCACATACCCTGATACCTACTCCTGAATGCACTCCTAGCTTGGCTGCTTCAACTGATCTCACCTACTACTGGTGTTCTCATGTCTAATGAAGTATTGCTCACCAGTGTTTTCCAGCCAGACAAGCAACCTGTCAGCATATTGCCTAGGAGAAGGATGCAGGGTGTCTCTTGCTATCTTTACTTATATCAGAACCATCCTTTGTTCTTTTTCATAAACAGGTCACCCTCTGCTGATTGTTTTTCCTGTGACTGCCCTTTCTTGTCAACTTTGCAATCTTCTAATCAGCATCTGGCTCCATACGCGTATGTTGTGAGACACAATGACCAGACAGGAGATAAATGTCTGCTATCTCCTGCTTCAAAGGAATCTGTTTAAGGCCTGTCATCTCATGGTTACCTGCCTTAACTCCAAGGGTATGAGAACATAATTTCCAGTATAGATACATAACTCTTTATTATCCGCATATGCATTTCAAAGAGATTATGATGACCAGGGGGCTCTGGCTCTTGACAGAGACCTTAGATGTCATCCTTTGGTGACCTTAATATGCATCTGACCCAGGGGATTCCTGTAAAACCCTATGCACCCCTGGTACTCTATGTCGGCTGGCACCAAGTACCAGGGCTTGATTTAGGGGCAGGTGACCAAGGCGAGCGCTTGGGATGTCAGGTGTGAGGGTTGCCAGGGTCGGAGTGCTGTTTTTATTGTTAGCGACAAAAGGGAAAATAGAATGTTTGAACTAAAATGTTTCAGCTATTCTGTATGTGGATTCATTTTTCACTAACCTCCTAGAATGTTCTGGACCTTTGTAGAATCTCGGGGAACCCTCCAGACTTTCTGAGAACTACATTTTCTTCGAACCTCCTAGAATGATGCCAGCCATGCCCGTGCAGATAGCTAAGGGGCAGGGCATCGCCAGTCAGTGAGATATAAGAACGAACTGAAGTGAAATGAGAACCCAACTGTGACATTGTGAACCTTGTTTTATTGTGTAATTGTAAAAAATAAGGTATTCAAAAGTTTAACAAATGGGGGAGGGCAAAGACGCTCCTCGCCTGGAGCGCATTTGGTCTAGGGCCAGCCCTGCCAAGAGCTTCCTGGATCACACAAAGGCCCATTTACACGATGATTTTAAGAAAGTATTGCCAACCTGAATATGATCTGGGTGTCTGGGTCTATGTGGTTATTTAATAGCTCGTTTGGCCATTCTTATGTTTAAGAACTAATCAAGGAATACAGACTAGACATACTAGCTGCCCTGATGAACTGGAGTTATGTTTATATACAGATAATGTGGTGCTTCTCTTATAGAGCATATCAGCCTGTTCAACTGTATGGAGAATAGGGTAGCTGTGATCAGAGATGCACTGTGTATTGACCAGTCCTGAAAGTACTTGACACAGCAGTTCCGGTCAGTAAAACTGGGTGACTTCTCAGCAGCCTGCTGGGATTTCTTCTGGAATCCCCAGAGGTCACTTCTGCAGCAGAGATTTTTTTCTACGGCACTGCGATTCGATTGAGGATATTTTATCTGTTTTGCAAGGTTATAGAAAGCTCTGGCTAGTAGATGTCTAACAGGATGGTGGTGTTTGCACCTCCCCGTTAGTAGGTGCTGACTCTGCTGCAAAAGTTAGTTGAATTCTGCTCACTCACTGCAGCAGATGGCATTTTACCCCACCAGGCTATGAGGGAAATGGAAGTGGATCTCTGCTAGACAGGATCTAGAGTGGGGATGGAGCAGTCCTGAGGGCTGAATCTAGGAGTAGCCCACACTGAGGAGACGGTAAGAGCTTAGCTTTGTGTCATTTTACTGTTGATTTCTGTATTAACAAAACCAAACAGGAGAGGCAGGTTGGCCTCTACACAGGTGAGGAGTGATTTAGGGCAGGTTGGAAGTTGTACCAGTTGACAAGCATTACATTATTTTCACCATCCCTCCTGCACTCTCTGTTCATCACCCCTCCTGTTCCCCCCTTCCTCCTCCCTCGTGGCTTACCTTCTACTTTACACACTTCCACCTGGTGCACCACCCCAGTGTCATTCTCCTTCTCTGCTGGCCACTCATACACGTACAAGTTAGTGTGAGACGAACCAGCATCCAGCACAATCCCGTACTGTGGATAAAACAAACCAGTTATCTCTGGACCAATGCACGGGACACTGTGAATAGTAGTCAGTGAGGCCAGACAGTGGGACAAGAGCACTCTTCACTTACTGGGCGCACTAGTAAGTGTAGCTACAGCAGAGGTGGTGCTAGCCCATTGGGGGCCCTGAGCAGGAATATTCCACCCCCACAATACTGAAACAGGCAAGTTCTTATAATAAAAAGCGAATAGGGGACCCCCCTTGAGCTGCTCAGAGCCCTAAGCAATTGCTTAGTCTGCTTATGCCTAGTGCCAGGGTCAGTCAGCTTGTGTGTGTGTTTTTCAGCATGCTGTCCAGTTCCGCACAGACAGCTGGTTAGCAGACCTTGAGTACAGCCCACTCATTCAGCAGACTTTCATGTACTCATAAAGAAAGACCACAGGCACGGTTCAGTGACACAGGCACTTGGCCAGGTTTATTGCCAAGACACAGTTCTAGCGCCCTGTCTCGGTGGTTACCAGTACCTTAACACGAGTGCCCTACGGTAGGGTTACCATATTTTGTGCCTCCAAATGGAGGACACTCCACGGGGCC